GACAAAAAATATAATTTAATAATTAAAAATCTTTTTTTTCCTCTTAATAATAAGGTTTTTGTCAATAAAACTTGAGTTTTAAGTTTAGGTCATTTTTCTTTTCATCATATATGGTTGTGTCTTTTTTTTTTTTTTTTTTTAGTGACTCTGTGGAGATGCTTATAGAGCCGATGGGTTGATGTTTGTTGGATTTTAATTCAGCCCACTCCGAGTAGATATGTTTTTCTTTTTTTTTTTTGTCTACTTGTCTATTATTCCTTTCACGATGATCGTTGATATTATGTAAGAACCTTGTCTTAAGATTATTGTGAGATTAGCGCAGAGATAATCTATTTTCTTCGTATTGAAACTTTTTCTCTCCTGATTAGACTTTTACTTATTAAGTCGGCAATTGTCGTCAGATATATGACGGTGAATCACCAGTGCTTTTAAATTATCTTATTTTCCACTTTATCTCATCATCTTCAGTTACGTTACGGATACTAGTATACATCCCACTCTCTCCCACTCTCACACACACACACACACACACACACACACACACACATTTGGACTAATTGTCATCCATTTATTTGTATGAAAATACTGATCTGAGGAATTAGAATCGAATTTCGATTCTAAGGAAATAAATTATAATCACCATGAACACTTAAAGTTGTCTGCTTCTTAATATAATTAATATTTGGTCTGTTTTTATTTGAGCTCTCTGGATAATATCCTCCCTGGAAGTATCCATACGGATTGCCAAACACATATTTACAATATATATATATATATATATATATATATATATATATATATATATATATATAAAAAGTCTGTTTCATGCTATATGCAATCGTCAGGCCACCTGTTTCATAGCATGAAACAGACTGTCGCCTAAAAAGTGTTGACTTATTGTATGTTCACTTTTTATTTTACACACAATTCTATCTCTGATATTGAGCACTTTTATCCCATAAATATAGCACACCTTAAGACCATATTTCTTTATATATATAATTGCGCAGGTATGCAGAAAATAGAAAAGAACACGCACGTTGGGTGCATAATCCGGAGTTCCTTAGTATTTTTGTTTTTATTTTTAAGAAGACAGTGCTCGATAGAGAAGTAGAGCTTTATTATAATAATAATATTTTTTTGTTTAAAAATATGATTCCTTCGCTACATAAGAGACTAAACACCTCAATTCAACTTAATTTTAATAATTATTTGGATGATTTCAGCTCTCGTTTTTGAAACATGGGAACTCTCATGTAGCGAAGGAATCATATTTTTAAACAAAAAAATATTATTATTATTATTATTATATATATGTATATATATATGTATATATAATTATTTTCAAATTTCTGTGTCGCGACTGAAGCATATTTTTAAAAAAGAAAATAATTATATTATGCTCTACTGTTTGTCTCGAGCACTGTTTATTTTATTAAAAAATAATTGGTAAGAATACAGGATTACGGTTCTTGTTTATTATTTTAATATATATATATATATATATATATATATATATATATATATATATATAACAATTCGAATATTCTGCCTCCTACTTGGGTACGAATCCCCAAGTTCTATTTTTTCTTTTTTGGAGTTATATTACTTTGGTTTTTTTCTTCTCAGATTTTCTCACATTTTTCTTACCTTCACTTATATTTTTCTCCATATTCCTTTCTGCTTTCTTTCTTTTTTTGTTCTCAAAGCTTTTTTTTTTTTACTACTTTTTGCTTCTTTTTTTTTTCAGTTTTTCTTTTATTTTTTCCTTTTCTTTTTCTTTTTTTTATGCAGACGGGCTCTTCACATTTGTCCAATTGAACAACTTGTGTGACTTTAAGATATTTGATAATTGGGTGTGAATAATTTACGACTCCCAAGGTCTATACGCCCAGCCTCTCCTTTATCCATTACTGCCTTTACTCTCCGTCCATTTCGCTTCTAGCGAGACTTGCCCGTGCTACGTAATTTATTAACGTTAGTAATTGGTCAGAATCGTTCTCCTGTCGCATACATCATTCATAAATCAGGGGAGATAATAAATCAGGTTGGCGCACAGGCAAGATGAAGGTATTATTTACAATTAATATACAGGAGAAATTGTGACAGTCGGCTATGAATCACGAACGAGTAATCACAAATGGTTTTGAAGAATGTTCACCAAGACTTGTATTATTATTATTATTATTATTATTATTTGCTGGACGCCATTATTGTCGCACTCGCTTTGATAATAACACCGAAGTGAGGTTTGTAGTTGTCGTAGAAGTCGTTGGTGTTAAGGAAAACGTTGGCGTTGAAAATAATGGCGGTTGGGTTTTTTTCATTGGTTGTTTTGGTAGGGAAGTGGAGGTGGTAGTGGAGAGAGATTCTGATTGTCACGTATGACATTCTATCCTTCTCGCTGCCATTGTCGGCCGTGGAAAAATAATATGCTCAAAGTCAGACAGATTTTCACATGATCGTAGATAGGTATATTCATGAACAAGGCTATATATATACATATATATGTATTTTAAGACATTTTTATGTTTATACATTCTTTTTATAGATACAAATATTTAAGTAAATAATTTGTTTTTTTTTAAATAATAAACAGTATCAATAAGATTTCATAATGTGTGACGTCTTTTGTTTACATTTGGATACGCTTTGAGCAGATATGAATGTACGTGAGAGATTCATGGCAGATTGAAGTTTAAAAGCAGTAAAATCGACCTTGCTAATTCAACGATCCTCCGGGTTTGATCGATTAAGGCACGTCAGGCTAAATGACGGTTCCGTATAGGATACAGGTTCAATTCCTGTCGGAGAACGAATATTTTCTATGAAAATTTCTGGGACATTCAGGCCGGTAAATGTTATTAATACTGTTTATTATAAAAAAACAAAACAAAAAAAAAAACAAAAAACAAAACAAAAACAGAGCATTTAGCAATATTTGTAACTATAAAAAGAATGTATAAACATTAAAATGTCTTAAAATAATTGTCGGACTTTGTCCAGTTCATAATATATATGTATATCTGTATGTGATATATACTCTAATAAGTCCAAAGTATGATGATGAAAACATTCATTTGTTTTATAGAAAATATAATTATTTTTCAAACATACTCTTTATTTTCATTATTAATATTAGTAATATAAATCCTCCAGTACCTGTCACGGTGGATAGCGGATCGAATTGAGGAATCGGAGAGCTGAGTTCGAATTCCAGTCGAATCCATTACATTCACTTACGTGCTAATACCTTGGGAAAGGTATGAATGAGTTTCTTTTGCCTCAGTTACGGGTAAATAGCAGAACAGACCGGGTTCTATAGCCTTGGATGGCAAGTGGTCTACTGCAGAAAGAAATGGCATTTACAGACACAATCGCATAAACAGAGTTGCCAAGAGCTGCAAAGTATGACATGATTCAAGGATAGGGGTAAATAAGAGATTTAGAAGAGAAGCGTGTTCATCAGGGATACAGAGGAAACGCGGGAGGAAGTCTTAGGGTAGTAGTAAATAAAATATGTGCTTGAAGGGAACTGGCGCACTCTGCATCATAGTGTGGCCTCGGGGTTGATCACCAGAGTTGCCTCCAGGGACACCCTTCCATGCACGACATTGAACTGCAAGAACCTCAATATTATGCGACTCTCCTGAAGCTACGCAAGAGATCGGGCTCCGAATTACCAGTCGGGAGCAGGAACCAGAAAACTGCAAACCCAGTACCGTCAGAATGAAGAGACGTTGCCAGCATCCAATAACAGGAAAATTCTTGACAGAACCAATTTTAAGTCCTGAGAAATGGAAAGTAACGGGGAACCTCTTTCTAATCAGGAAACAAGGAATTAGCCTCTACTCCTGTTCACGAGAAGAGGGAAGAACATGGACCAGGCCATTGAAAAGCCTAAGTTTGGAAGATCAACAAAGAGTAAAAATGGCAGAGACCTACTGGTGACAGAACTTTACAGAGAAGCCAATCAATCCTGGGTAGATTTCTGGTTAACTTAAAAAAAAGAATGGATAACTTATTTGGAGAGTCGAATTGCGGCTCACAGAACTTTTAGACCATGCCATGTTTAACTGACCTTCTAGTATATTAAGATGAAGAGGTGGAAACAGGTAGTAGAGGGGTGGAGTCTGTCCCTAGAATCATGAGTGAGTGGCCAGTAGCAACAGGGTAAAAAAAGAAAAGAAAAATATCTCTACATCTATCTCTATCCAGATCTGTCTCTATATCTATCTATCTATCTATCTATATATATATATATATATATAACGATCTATCTGTATGCATCGCTATCTATCTGCAATACCCCACACTTGCCTTCTTAAAGATCGTAGCTAGACAGTAGTCTCATGAAATTATATCTGACATGAATGTGTATAGTAAGCAGACGGTTCTAATTGAATTCTATATTGTAAAAAATTGCACTCATTGATATTTACCGTAGTTTACGGAGACCAAGCAGTGGATGTGAGCACAGTTATGCATCTCAGAATGGATGATAGAGATCACAACGTTTCAGGCAGCACTGTTCGGTTGACAATTCATGTAAATGGGACTCGAAAATTCATTGCCATTAGAATGTTGGGGGAATAATGCTTTGCTGCTTAAAAATAAATACATAAATAAAACATCCTATATCCAACAATGTCGTTTCCATGGAAATAAGTAAGAAACATTACTTTCGGAGTGTCCCATAGGAATATCTATATTAAAAAAATTGACTTTTTAATTAGCCGTCATTGTTGCCATGCAGGCTCTTGAAATTTGCTGGCGAAAATGGATGATGATTTGTGGTGATTATGTGGAAAAGTAACATTTTATAAGTGAAATCTTTGCTCGATCAAGTGGTGATATTTTGTTCTGTGTATTTAGTGTCATTTCCATTGAAATAAATCGATGGAGTTACATACGGAGCATCCGTTATCTATCTATCTATCTATCTATCTATCTGACTTTTTATCTGAACATCACATATATCTACCTATCTGATTTTTTATATGACCAACACATTATCTATCTATCTATCTATCTATCTGACGTTTTATCTGACCATCACATTATCACTATATCTAACTATCTATCTATCTGATCATCACATTATCTGTCTATCAGACTTTTTATGTGATCATCACATTATCACCATATGTAAGTATGTATCTATCTGACTTTTTATCTGACCATTACATTATCTATAGATCTGATTTTTTGTCTCAGCAAAACATTATCAATCTATCTATCTAACTTATCTATCTATCTGACTTTTTATCTGAGCATCACATTATCTATCTATCTGACTTATCTTGCCATCACATTATCTGAATTATCTATCCGTCACATTATCTATCTATCTATCTGTCACATTATCTATCTATCTATCTATCTAACTTATCTAGCACTCACATTATCTATCTATCTGAATTTTTATCTGACCATCACATTATCACCATATCTATCTATCTATCTATCTGACTTTTATCTGTGCATCACATTATCTATCTGACTTATCTAGCTATCACATTATCTATCTATCTATCTATCTATCTATCTTTCTGACTTATCTAGCAATCACGTTATCTATCTATTTATCTGACTTATCTAGCAAACATTATCTGACTGGCTTTTTATCTGACCATCACATTATCACCATATCTATCTATCTATCTGACCATCGCATTATCACCATATCTATCTATCTATCTATCTATCTATCTATCACACACATTTTGCGGCCTCGTTCCCAAGAACCGTTACAAATGACCTCACGCAAACGTTCATCTTCCCAAAGAATACCAGGATGCAGACTAATAACGACTGAGAAATTCGAAACAAAAATAACAAAATATGTAATTAGACCAGTTTATTCCTAATACTCAACACCTTATCCGAAAATTGAAAAGGATATAATAAAATTTTAACGGACAGACTTTGTCGTTTCTTTGTAATCATATTTATTTCGAGATAATTTTAACGTGTGTTATATACATAGAGTAAAAATATTCTATATCCGGGTAGAGCTTTTATAAACCTAAGTGTGGACACTGATCTCAACACCAAGTAGCGAATATTTGAGACTTGAGCGTAGATGTTATATTGTCACCAATATCTACACTTCTTTATATGCATCTGCTGTGTTATATGTATATAGCCCCTTATATGGTTTCGGCCATCATCTCTAACCTAGATCCCCATAAAATGGACCGGATGGTATCTCTTTAATAGACATTAAGTAGTGTGCTCCCAAACTGTATAATAGATGATTTCTGTTTTCCTGCTTCCTGGAAGTAATCATCTAGTGTTCCAGTTTTTAAAGACTTTGGTGTTACAAGGATTTTTGTAGGTCTCTCGCTCAGTTGCGCCCCACACATAATAGCCACGAGGGTTGCAGTCCAGAGAGATTGGCGATCAGATGTAAGGGGTGATGTAGTCGCAGAAATTGTCTGACGGCCATGACTGGTTTCTTCTGCTTGTGTGGTATAATGCAGAGTCGTGTTGCTAGACATAACCCTCCAGTAGCTACCCTCTTGATCGAGAGCAGCACCACCTCGTCATGGCACTTGATTCAGCCCTCCGTGTTGAGTATGAGACCCTCACCAGTTCGGTAGTTCCTTTTGAGTGTTCTGTTCTTATCAGAACGATCAGAGAGGGTTTGACGAGAGGCCGCACCTTCGTAATCACAATTAGGCTCATTCAACTCTTTCTGAATCCTCTGCACTTTTCTTAGATTCACACCCAAACGACCCTGCTATACTGTGCAGTCGATAAAATCAAAAACAAACACTGCGCATGCGCGAAATTAAAATATAAAATGGCGTCAATTTACCTATCTCAGTCTGTAGATATAGATAGACATAGACAGAAACAGATAAATAAGGATAGGGTAACGTTTATATATATATATATATATATATATATATATATATATATATATATATATATGTAAATGTTTCATTAAAAACGACAGACAAGGTACTACAGTTAAGCTTTTTATTTAATTTTTCTTGTGTTCGAACAAGAGCTTTATTATTTTGGGAGTTTGTAGAATCTGCCTAATTGTTTTATAGATCCGAGCGCATTCGGCTATACTTTTAGCCATTATCAAGGATGATTTTATTTTTTCAGTTTAATTGTGTGCGTTATGTGATTGTTTTTAGTGTGTTATAGAGATGTTTTATATCCTGAACACGGTTTGCTCATGGTGGCCTTGGTCATGGTTAATATTGTTAAGAGTTGGTTTTTCTTTTTTATTATTAAGGCTTCCATTATTTTTAAGATTTTTATAGGTGGATGAGGTTATTATCTTTGTGTTTTCTACTGGTATCTTTCGAATGGAGTCCGGTCAGTTTGTGTATGTGTTTAAATGAGTTCTAATAGCTCTGGCCAGATAGATGAAATGTAAGGCGTCTGGATAAGATTGTAGTTGTGTGACCAATGTAATTATACGTTCGGTTTGATTAGGAACACATTTCCTTAAAGGTGTATTTGATCTCATAGATAATGTTCGTTCGTTGTAATTTTGACTCAGCTGGTGGGTTGTAATTTTTGGGCATATAATAAGCTGCTTTAAATTTTTTATAGTAAATAATTTGATTTTTTTATTCGGGTCAATTAGGGTAGTGTATGTCTTTATAACATTTCTAAGTGAAAATTCGTCTTGTTTTTAGTTAATGTGCATTTGTTTTTTGTAGATAATATTTAATGGAATTTTGACTATATATATATATAAATATATTTATTGATATATAAATATTATAACCATTTTCGACCATATCTTTTATAGATATATATATTAATTGGTAGGTTATATATAAAAATTTAAGTTTATGAATGCAAAAAATATGACCTTGCCAGAAAGAAAAATGAAAGATGAAAGATCCTTTACAATGAACGAGAGGTTAGGCAAATTGTTTAAACTAAATGATCGTTTCGTATAGGATGCATTTTTAAAAAATGTTCAAAGGACGAATATTTTCTTTTTTAAATTTCTGAACATTCAAGCCAGTAAATGTTATTTAATACTGTTTATTATAAACAGAGCAATTTACTTAAATACTTGTATCTATAAAAAGAATGTTAAAATAAAAATGTCTTTTAAATAAATTGTCGGAAATTTGTCCATTTCTTAATATATATATATATATATATATATATATATATATATATATACATATATTACACACATTGACATATATATATATATATATATATATATATAAAATTACTAAATATATATATATATATATATGTATTGACTATATATATATATTCAATATGTATTGATATATATATATATATATATATATAATGTATGTTGAAAAATATATACCTATATTCTATGAGGCAAATATATATATATATATATATATATATATATATATATATATATATAATTTAAATGCCTCCATGAGATCGCTAAAAAAAAGTATAGCATGATGAAAAGAACGCCAAACTTGACGAGAAAAATTTTTTTTCGTTTAAATGTTCATGTTATTATCAACATAAAGATCAAAGTAATTTTCTTCAGAAAATATTGTCCATATTCATAAAAACAGCTAAAAACCAATAAAAGCATTTGAAATTATATAAGATCTTTGTTTTATTGAATTTTGTATATTACAATTCAGAGCTGATTTTCAGGTATTAAACTCAATTAAAAAAAAACAAAACATGATTTGCATTCCTCAAAAACTTTTTTTTTAAGTATTGTAATCACTTTGCCGATGCGATCGAATTTCTAGCGTTTTCATAAAATTAGTTGGGTGGGGGGTTAATAAATATAAAAAAATATTTCTGGCATGACTTTAATAAAAAAAAATTATTTATAATAATTTCGATCATTTTTGAATAGTTTGTGAAAGTTTTATTAACATCCGACAATTATTTTTATTTTTGAAAGATTTTCCAAATTATGACATGAAAAAAAGTATCATACAAAAAAAAAAAAAGTGCTAAAAATTGTATATGTTTTTTTTACTAGTTCCGATGATACAAAGAGAAACAATGTTTTTTTAATCAAAATTTAGAATGTTCTAAAAAGAAAGAAAAATTTTAAAAAAACAATTAAAAAAACCTTTGTTCTTTCCTCTTAATAATAACATGAACGATAAAATTTTGTTCTTGTTTTTGTTGCTTTTTCATCATGCTTTGCAAAATTTTTTTCCTTATTCATTTAAGTTACCTAATATATATATATATATATATATATGTTGTCACACGTAGAAAGATACTGAAAATAATATTTTGTTACATTGGTTGTGTTGTGGAGGAGAGCTTGAAGGCCTGTACTTGTTTACTAGCAAAATTCTGATCTGATAGTCCGAGTTTTGACATCTGTAAATGTCGGTTGAATGTTTTACACCTCATGTCCATTAAATATTCGTTTACTTTTCATATCAGCGACACAACGGGCATAAATATTCGCATACAACTCATCCAGCAAAAGCTATTGTAACTATAACCCCAAAAAGCATTTGTATTATTTTATTGCTTTTTCTCTCGTATTTCAAGATGTCTTCTTCGACTCTCTCATCGCTTTGTTCTTCGCATATTTCTGTCCAGGTTGAAATTTATTTTCCATATTTCCCTGTCCTTAGACCACACGTTATATTGTTTTCTTTTCTTTTTTTTCAACTTCCAGCCGCCATGTTTTCTCCTTTTATTTTCTTCGTCTGTCTTTCACTGTTTCTTCTCTTGTCAGCTTTTTTCAGTTCTTGTTTTATGGTTCTCACGTGGGTAGAGGACAACGATTTCACACATTTATATCGAACAATATTTATTTATTTATGTATTCATTGGATTTTGTCGTTTCTCTAGAATGTACTGTCAGCGTACAGATGAACGCCAACATACACACGCAAGCAGATGGTCACGTCACTATACAGACACCGACATATTCATATTCACAAAAAAAAAATCTATCTGTAACCATAAACACACATACAGCCATAAATACATACACCTATTTTATTATTAGTCTATATTTCTGATATAAGGTATTGTAATTATTTCAAATGTTCGGGCCGTTGACCTCATCTTTATTGTCATGTTCACAACATTTCGGCCGTTGTACGTCCCGGCCTTTTTCAGGTGATTAAGAATTTCGAACTGAACCCTTTATTTTGTTCACCAGGGTAGATTGCTTTATTTCCACGTGCCATGCCACTTCCGAATGTATCAGCTGTCATCCTTTAACCCGCCTCTCCAAGTTTTTGTTCACCACTACCGTAGCCAGGTATTGAACTCTCAACTCTTTGGGTCAAGTCGTTGGATCCAATCAACGCTTTTATCCACTGGACCATGTATCCTTGAGTTCAATACCTGGCTACAGAAGACGCGTAAACAAAGACCTGGAGAGTTGAGTTAAAAGGGAGATAACTGAGACATCCAATTTGAAAATGGCACGTGGAACTAGAATTTTACCCGGTGGATGAAAAAAAAGTGTTCAGTTCTGAAATCCATTTGCAAAGATATTTAAATTTATAAAGGGTCGAAACGTAGTTATTATTTGAATAAAGATGAAGGCAAAATTCTTGATTAATGTAAATAATTACATATTTTAATACTTTAAACGTTATTTTGCTCATATTTGAGTGGACACTCTTTTTTATTTATTAAATAGCATATTTATTTGTTTTCGTCTATCGGCCTTGAATACTCGAGAAATCTTATTAAAGAAAAATATGCGCTCTTTGGCTGGATTCAAACCTGCGTTCGATGTACTTTAGACTGACCAGGCCATGAAGAGCAGCATCGATCAAGGAAGATGGAACAGTACCGTGTGCATCTAAAGCAAATCGGATCTAACGAAGGTTTATCCTGTCAAGGGGAACATAGGTTCGAATACTGCCAGAGAGCGCTTATTTTTCTGTAATTTGATTCATTGAATATTAAGGCCGTTAAACAAAAATAGAATAAATAAATATACGGTTTAATAAATAAATGGAACGTCTACTCAAACGTTATTTTAGAGGATACATATATTTAAGTAATAAAATCTCTCGGATAAAAAATACATAAAAATCGACACTTTAAAAATACACACTGACACACACACACATGATATATATATATATATATATATATATATATATATATATATATATATATAAAACTAACCCATCACTACAAAATTGTAAATTTTGATTCGACGTTTAAAATAAAACGTCTCTTCATATTTTAACAATGATGGTAAACTATTAAAACTAAAAATCGTAAGTACCTTCCATCATTGTTAACCACCTGAAGAGACGTTTTATTTTAAAAGTCAAAATTTAAAAATGTAAAATTTTAAAATACTTAAGAAATGTTCTAATATAACAGTGAATAATAAATATTTATTGTTGTATTGAGCCCTCTTTAAAAATTAATGTCTTGAACGTTATATTTGTATCCTTCTGCTCTTTTATTTTGGACACACACACACACACACACACACACATATATATATATATATATATATATATATATATATATATATATATATATATATAATGTGTGTGTGTTTCAAAAGTCGTAAAATATATTCTTGAAATTTAAACCGATTTAGGCCCAATTGACTACTAAATCTATTAATCCCTTCCCCTGTTTTTTTTCCTTCCAATATAAATATCTATTTTCTCTGACCTTCCGTTCCCTTTGATAATCTGTGTCCGTCTGGTCTATTATCTCCATTTACAGAGGAGATTTCGATCTGAAGAGTTGAACATCTAGGTGTTCACGAAATAAAGTATAAGGGAAATGGATAATTAAAGTCTTCGTTTAATATCATTATAATGGTCTGTAGTCTAGATTAAGCTCTCCCTGGATTTATATCCTCCTCGGGATTATCCTTTCGAGTCACAAAGAAATAATATATATATATATATATATATATATATATATATATATATATATGTGTGTGTATGTGTGTATATGTATATATATATTAAATAAACTGATTGGTCACACCACGAACACGCTTTCAAAATTTGAAGCTGCATTAAAATGATTACATTTTTTTTTGGCATTTAATACAACATGCCTGCCCGCGTACTCAATTCCGGAAAATCCAGAAATTGACAACACAATTATACTTAAACATGAAAACAATAATTAAAAATTCTTGAAGCTTTATACATAAAACAGTTGAAACCTAACCTGAACAAAATAAACTATGAAATTTCCACAAATATCATTAAATGCATATAATTTATAACATAAGCCATTGGTTTATACCGACGGCTTCCCGTACTTAATACTTCTCGTTTTTCGCTCTCGCGTGGTCATCTGCGACGTCACGAGCTGCGACGCGAATTTCGCTTTCGGGTCTCGTATATACGAGTTTATCGTTACTTGGAAAATGTAATGCAGCAAGGGCGGACTATCATTGTTGTTTCGTCCGTGTGTTGTTTGATTTATTGAACTTGTCATCTTTGATAATGGCTTGTGTAAGCCTAAAGCGTAGATTGGATTTAAACATGTATCGATATGGTGTTTTCCTTTCGTCTTACAACGATAATGTGATTAAACTTATCAGACAATATGAAAGGAACTTATTTAAAATAAATAGACAAAACTTGTCTATATTATTTAATGAAACATGCATTAATATATATATATATATATATATATATATATATATATATATATCATATTTAAGCCCAAAGCAATGCGGTAGTGCCACTAGTAAGCCAAGGATTACAAAGTCTGTAAGTAAGGGATCATATTGGGTATAGTGGCGGGTATTGATGAAAGAATAAAAAGAAGAACGGTAATAAGGCAATAGAAGATGTCGATTGACATTACATTTAAATTTTGAAGATTATAGTTATCGAGGAAGCAAGTAAGGGGAAGGGAGTTCCACTGTTGGGAAGTGCTAGAGAATTAGCTGTTGACGTAGAAGAGGTGGTTACATTTAACTGTTTCGACTGTGAAATTGTGGGACCGAGATGCCAACCTAGTAGCACGCTTAAATTCATGCAGTATGGGCACCATTGAAAATAGCTTGTCAGAGCAGTAGCCATGAAAATATTTATAGAAAAGACATAGGGAAGCCACATTACTATGATGAGAAAGTGACTGGAATTGAGACCTCATGTTAGAACCGATCACATAGTATATCCGTCTTTGGGTTTTGTCGAAAACCTCGAGATGAACAGCGAGGGCACAAGACCATATATGGCAACAGAATTTCATGCATGGACGAATGGTAGATTTGTACATGTGAAGGATAGACTTGTTCTTACTCTTATTTGCATATATATATATATATATATATATATATATCGTGTTTTAGGAAAATCAATGACAAAGTGGGAAAGGTTTTTGTGTGAAGCGATTCGTCATTTAGGACTGCAGCTGGCTAAAATAATTTTGACGTTGATGTAACTATACATTCGCACCAAGGGAATGGTGAAATTTTTAATCTTTTAAACTTTTTTTAAAAAAAATATTGGGAATATACGGAAGATAATTTCAATGAATTTTTTTTATTTGTTTTTTATAACTTTTGGTATTAAGTAACTCATAGTGTTACTTTTCTCCAACACACACACACACACACACACACACATATATATATATATATAATCTCTGGTACTCGGACATTTGGCCGACGGACATTTAAATGAAAATGTAGTGGCGTACTTATATATATGTTACACTCTTTATTGTAATGTGCTACACACATTTATATTTATTTACTGTATTAATTTATAATTTGCGGTTTTTTTTTTTGCGGGGGGTTGAATGGCTTTTCTAAAAATCTATTCTTTATATATTATATTTTACTTAAAATATTACTGTAAGATGATAAATATTTTGAGAAAAAGCACATTTTACTACAGCAAAAAATTTAAGCTTTTACGATATGAAAAGATCTTTCAATTTCGCTTTAAATGATCATTATCTTAAAAGGATGAATTAGCTTTTATCTTACTGTTAAATAAGAATTTAAATAATTAGGTGCTACTTTTTACCCAAATACACTCAAATATTTTTTTTTAAATACTAATTTCAATAAACAAATATTGAAATAAAACTTTTAACTTTAAATTTAGATTAATTTAGTGGTTAAATTAAACCACTTGAAATTTAATGGTAATTATTAGTCCAATTCTACCTTATAATACTACTAATCAAAATATATAAGGTACTGCTTGTTACTATTTCTATTTGTACTTTTTCGGTGAAATGTCCGTCGGCCAAATATCCATTCGGCCAAATGTCTGTCGGACAAATGTCCGCCTTCCATGCTCGGCCATATTGGAGAGCAGTGCTCGAATTCCAGTCGAGTTGGTTTCATTTATTAACACGAACTTTTAGTTTGGCAACTAGGCCTAATCGTTTTAATGTTGAATTAGGTAGATGCAACAGTAAGTTCTATTCCAATTGTTTGTTTTTTTAAATTTTTTTTTGCACTTTTCGCCGGTGCCACGCTTTCCTGTCAACTACAATCTTCAAAAATGTAAACGCAAGTTCACTCGCTATCTTCTTTCTTCCTGAAACCTGTTCGTTTATTATCCTCTCTCTTCAGTAAGGCCTTCTCATTCTCTTTCACTTAGTAACCCCTTGCGCCTTGCTTGGGATGAAATGATTCAAAAATAAATTTCCGGAAGTTTATTTTTTAATCATTTCCTCCATCCCTGACTCTTGTCGGGCTACGCAGATCTGCCCTCTTGGCAACTCTGATCACGCCGTGGTGTCTATTAACATCGTCCACTCCTCCTTCACCCAAGAATCTCGTACTAACAGAATATC